TTTTTTAATTCATTCATTTTCTTTTTAAAACTCTTTCAAGTTCATTATCTTTTTTATTTTTGGAGTACATAGCTAATGATTTTTAATGTCAATTTTTCCTATCATCTTTTTACAATCTTAATGATATTATTATAAAGATTTAATAAGTTAACTAATTAAAATTTGGTTTTCTTTATAACTTTTAATTTAATCTACTCATATATATTCATTAACCTTAATTATTTATCTTTAATTCAAACATCAATGTATAAGTAGATAACTTATAAATTCTAGTTAAGTTAATAACTTAAATGATCTAAGTTAGTTAATTTTTACTTTTTCTAAAACTACGAAGTATAAAGAAATGTTCATTTAAACTATGATCTATGGTTTTCTTATTATCCTAAATTTACATTATTTTTAATTTAAAATTTTTATTAAGGTTAGTTAAATAATTAGAATGCAAACATAATAATGAATAATAATGTAAAAAATTAAGTATAAGGGGAATTTAATATATTGTAAATAACGACACAAACAAACATAAAAAGAACTTATTTTTGTATGGTTGATAGACATACATAAAATATGTGATGTAAAATAATAACACAAGTACATGATAATTAGTGCTTTAAGTCTCCAGCCAGACTATGCCAATTATTTCATTTCGAGGTGAACTAATTTAGTCATATTTCATAATCAATCAATGTCCCTACCTAAATAAGGTTTCAAATTTTTTCCATTCACTTTAAAAATATGTAAACTTTTCTTATCTTTAATTTACATAGTTGCATAAGGAAATGTTCTTACGATAGTGAATGATCCTGGCTATATGGATTTAAATTTTCCTTGGAATAACTTAAGTATAAAATTATTAAGTAAAACAACATGTCCAAGAGTTAATTCTTCCTTAAGAAACTTTTTGTTATGCTATTTTTAACTTTATCTTTATTTGCATAAGTTTCATTTTTTATTCCTTCAAATTCATTCAAGTACATCAATCTTTTCTCTTTTATAATTTTGAAATTTTAATTAAATTCTTTAATCGCCAAAATGCTTTGTGTTCTAATTCTACATTAAAGTGGTAAGCCTTTCCAAAAATTAATTTATAGGGAGATATACCAATAGTAGCTTTATAAGCTGTTATATTGGTCCATAATGTATCATCTTACTTAATCGGCCAATATTTTTTATTTTAATTAACCATTTTTTCTAGGATTCACTTAATCTTTCTATTGCTAATCTTAGCCAGACCACTAATTTAGGGATGTTAAGAAATTGCTACACTATGATAAATCCCATCATTGATTAAAACTGACATCCTAAATCTAGCGTAAATATTATTCTTAAGAAACTTGACCGCATTTTGACCATCAATTTTAGAATTTGCCACACATTCAATCCACTTTGAAAGATAATCTACAACAATAAGAATATATTGATTTCCATAGGATGGAACAAAAGGTCCCATAAAATTTAATCCTAAAACAACAAATATTTATATTTCCATAATATTGTTCAAAGGAATTTTATTTGTTTTAGAAAAATTTCATACTCATAGGATTTGATTACATTTCTTAAAATATTGATTTACATCCTTAAATAGAGCTTGCCAAAAAATTACTGATTAGAGGATTTTAAAAACAATTCAAAATCCTTCGAAATGTCCCCCATAAAGATAATCATGATGCTCTAATGATTTATTCTATTTCTTCTTTAGGAGCACATCTTCTAATAGTTTTATTGTTACAATTAAGGTTCATCCCAAAAAGTAAAATTGGTATGATGCAAGAACAACCTCTTTCAACAAGGATTTAAATCATAAGGAATTATACCTCTAATAATGAAATTAACATTGTTAGCATATCACCATATTTAGATTAATAGAAAATATTTTTTCATATTGAAACTTTTCATTAATCCCATCTTCATTTAATGTAAACACTTCAATAAAAAGTATAGAAAGATGATCGGCAATTTAATTTTTTGTGCCATATTTTTCAAAAATTCTACATCAATTTCTTGTAATAGAAGAATCCATCTAACCAATCTAGGTTTAGTGTCTTTATTTGTCTAAAAATATTTGATAGCAATATTATTTGTATAAATAATTACTTTGGTTTTAATCAAGTATGATCTAAATTTATGAAAAAACAAAAATAATTACTAACAATTCTTTTTTTTGTTGATATATAATTACATTGTGTAGAATTAAAAGTTTTGCAAGCATAAAAAATGACATGAAATTTATTATCTTACTTTTATCTTAGAACATCACCCGCAACAACTTTACTAGCATCACACATCACTTTAAAAGATAGAAACCAATCAGGAGCAATAATCTCTAGAGTAGTAATCAAGGTTTATGTTTATGTATTGGAAGCATCAAGAATAGTAAAATTAAATATGAAAGGAACATCCTTTTCCAATAGTTGACATAATGGTTTAAACATTTTAGAGAAGTGTTTAATAAGTCTTCTATAAGATCTTACATGACCTAAGAGAATTATAATGCCTTTAACATAATTGGGAGGGGGTAGTATTTATATCCCTTGAGGTTTGCAAAGTCTATTTCCAATCCTTTCTTAGTAATTTTATGCCCAATGAAAATGCCTTCAATTACCATAAATCAACACTTCTCCTAATTTAACACAAAATTTGATTCTTCTCTTTTTTGTTAAAAAAAAAAAATTATCTGCTCAAGACAATAATTAAATTTAGTAACAAATAATGAGAAATCATTGATGGGAATTTTAAAACCATACTTAATTAAATTTAAAAATATAGACATTATAAATCTTTGAAAAATAGTAGGAGCATTGCACAAACCATAAGGCATTCTCCTAAAAGCAAAAAGGTTCCATAAGTACTAAAGAAAGTAGCTTTATCTTGATCTTCCCATGCAAAAAGAATATAATGATATTATGAATATCCATCTAGAAAATAATAAAGTGATCTTTTCTAGTGTCTTTTTTTAATCCCTATAATCTATACAAATCCTCTATGTTAGAAAAATTCTAATGGGTATAAGTTTATTATTTTCATTTGATATAATAGTTAATCCTCCATTTTTAGGAATACAATGAAATGGACTAACCCAAGAATTATCATAAATAGTATAAATAATCCCATCATTCATCCATTTAAGAATATTTTTTTAACAATATATTTCATGGAAAGGTTAAGTGTTATTTAAGGGTTAGCTTTTACTACTAAATAAGCCTCCATTAAAATTCTATGCATGCAAATTGAAGGACAAATCCTCTTAATGTCAGCAATTGTCCACCCAAAAGCTCTTTTAAAATTACTCAACACCCTAATAAATTTTCTTTCTTGATATGCTCTAAATTTACTGAAATAATTACAGGATGAGTAAAGTTATTACCCAAAAAAAATATACTTGAGATGAAAAGGTATAGTCCTAAGCTCTAAGTTAGGGGTCTCTTTAATGTATGGTTTTCAAGTTCTCTCAAAAAAGAGGTTTCTAATAATATAAAATTTCCATTAATTAAACTTTCATTCCTCACTACAAATTCTCTTAACATTTCTTTATTATCTTTAACTTTTTCCTCTTCTAATAATTCTTCTTATAACAACTCTTCCTATAAATTCTCTTTTACCAAATCAATCCACCCTAAAGCAATTTTGTTTTTCTCTTGAGGGAATTTGATAGATTTAAGTACATCAATTTTAACTTATTAATCTTGAAACCTCATAGTCATTTCTCCTTTTGTATATCAGTCATGGCTTTATAAATGGCTAAGAAAAATCCTCCTAAAATTAGAGTTAATTTCATATCTATTTCCATGTCAATAATAATAAATCTAACAGGGAAAATGAATTTAGCAACTTTAATCAGCACTTATTCTTTTATGCCTCTTGGGTAAGTCCTCTTGGGTAAGTAAAAGATCTATCAACTATCTAAAAAGTAATAAAAGCAACTTGAGTCTCACCTATATCTATTGTTTTTAAAATAGAAAATCTGCATGAGGTTGATATTAGATCTTAAATTTCATAAAGCTCTCCTACATAATTATTGACCAATAGTTAAAAGACTTGTAAGGCTCCGAGGAGTTTTATTTTTTTCAAGACGTTTCTTTTGAATTATAGCACTACACTTTGAAGTTAATACCACAAGTTCAAATTCCCCAATCTTCCTTAGATTGTCTAAGATATTATTCATAAAATTATCATATGTGGCATCCATTCAAAAGCTTTAGGATATGTATATTAGTTGTTAGTTTTTTAAACACTACTAAGAATTTTGAGAACTACTTGTCAATATTTTGTTTGATCAATCTCTGAGAAAAAGGTGGTGGTGGTCTTTCTACAACCCTCATAATTACTTGTTCATGTTATTTTATAAGTTCAAGTTATTATATTGAAGATTTATTTTCTACTTGCTCCACTTCATTATCATCCCTCTGAGGAAAATCTCTATCTTTGTAAGAAACTCCTAAATATTTTCCACTTCTAAGTTGGATATTAATATATTATTCTTTCATTTTTTTATAATTAATCAACCTAGCAAGTTGCCCTATTTGATCCACAAAATATTTAAGAGTAGAAGATTAATTTTGTACTTGGATTTCTAGTTGTAGATTAATATTTTGCAAGGGTACTTTCTATTTCCTATCATGATAGAGTTGTTTAAAATTTGAGGGGTAATGCTACAACGCTATGTGGTACAATGTAACAACACTAAGATTTTTAGAATTTCTATTGAAATTATTATATACATATGTCCTAGTTTTAATTTTCAATTTATCCAATTTTTTAGAAATTTTTATAAATTTAGTAATCAAGATTGACAAAGCATTAAATTCATAAATTATTGTTGCTTTCTTAGGATTTTCCCTATCAGCATGCCACTGGAAATTATTAGTTGTTTTTTTTCTATTAATTCATATGATTCCTCAAATGGCTTAGGGTATAATGATCATCCAACTGAAGCATTAATTATATCTCTAAGTGATTCTACTAATTCATTATAAAATATTTGAATAATCAACCAATTAGGTAAAGCATGGTGAGGGCATTTTCTTAGTATTTTCTTATATCCATCCCAAATCTTATAAATGGATTTTCCTTCAAACTGAGTAAAATAAGTTATAACATTTCTATGTTTGGAAAATTTAAAGGTTTTAAATACTTACCAAGAAACTTATGAGCCAACTCATTTCTATTAGTTATGGACCCCGGGGGTAAAGAATTCAACCGCATCTTATTTATAAATGTGAATTCAAAACATATACATTGCTAGATCTCTATTGATCTTGCTGGGGTCAAAATCATATATAATGACTTCCTATAGTTATATCATCTCCTTAAATAGCTAACTAGATATATAAATATACTAATTCAATACTCTTCGTTGTTCTTACATTCCTCGATCGAGGCCATACATCACACTAGTTTTCAACTACACTTATGGCCACTATTGTATTAAATAAAGAACAAGAGAATATTGAAAAAATCATTTAAGTTTATATGAAAAGAATCTTCATTAGTATTTAATATATTTTCTTCATCATCAATCCAAATTTAGAGAATTAGACAAACATGGAGGAAATGATAAGCAAATTATTTTTTATTGAAATCATAGAAGGAAAAAAAAATAAGAAAGTGATTTCATCATGAAGGATCAATATATCTTCTCTACACTCCTTCATCCTTAACATACATTGTTTCTCAAACAAATACTGACTAAACACTCTAATGATTGTATCTAGCACTTCTCTAGTTTTCCTTAGAATTAACTCTAAGAGAAATATAAGGAAATACTATGAAATATACTAAAATTAGACAGGTGATTGACCTCCCTCATAAATAAAACATCACTACTATTTATAAGATATTTTAAAAATAAAAGGTGAAACTATGACACTTAAAAAAGTGGCATCACAATGCCCTTAAAATGAATTAATTCTTTAGCACTAGAACTTCTGCGCGCACTGCCATGACACTTATCGATGTTGAACAATTGCTTAGTGATTAGTCATGTTACATCACTGGCATATCATGTCCCTTGGAAGTTACTTGTTATGTCATGGCATTGATGATTATTGAAGGCTGAGGCATTGCATGGTAGATTTGGCACCAATGTGTGATAAATTGTGCTTATGCGGTGCTTAAATTAAGTGAACATGGTGTTTCCATGTCCAATAGTGGCACCTTGATGGCGTGTAAGATGGTGATGTCAAGTGGAATTATCGGATGTCGCAGTACTATACTCTTCTTTCAAATTTTTATCATTTTCAATTTTTCCTGTACATAAATAATTAAAATATTATATTTAAATTGATAAACAAAAAATTTAATATAATTTACACTTATTAACTCCTCTTAGGAAGACAAAGATGTATAAGATTGGAAAGCTTAAGAACTAAAATATCTAATAAAAAAGTAAGGAATCTATGCAACTTATCTATCATGGTTTTTTACGATTGGTTAAATTCCAAATATGAGCTTAGGACTTGATAATCAATGACTCTAAGAACTTATAAGTTATTGAGAAATATGTTATAAAAGTTCAATTTATGGGTGTTAGAGCACTTCAACTACAATAGCACATCAAGAGGGTGCATGAATTAGTGTTCTAAAATTTTTATTCTTTAAAAATTCTTTTTGAAACACTTAATACAAAATTATAAACTTATGTTCCAAAATAGAACTTGAATTTGTAAAGCTAATCAAATGAAAAATTAAATGCATTTATTTTTCTTCATTTTTTGAATTTGTACAATTTTTTTTTTGAAGAAATGCAAATTGCATTAAAAAAAACTATTATAAGCTAGAAACGTTAGTTAGTATCCCAGATTTCCCAATCAGGTAAAAAGTGAAAACTAGGAAGGGTCCCAAATTCCATTAATCTAATTCCATAATGTAAATAAAAAACTAAATTGATCTCCTAATAATCAAGTGGTCGTATAGCCACCTCCATACAAGGACCACACATAATGATACTCATCATCAAATTAAACAAGAACTACACAACTTCTAAAGCTCGTTTACGTGATGCCTCCACATTCTTCAATCCTTCAATAAACAAGCATTGAACATCAAAGAACAAAGCACTACCAACCATTAGCTTATCGGGGACAAGATTCCACTTCCTTCCATCATTATAACATACAAGAAGGCCCAAACTATCTTCCATGGATGCTCCAATCAAAGGCAGCCAAATAATTGCAATAATTTTGATATTTGGTAATGAATCTGAAAGAAACATACCCTCTACTCCCTTAACAGTAAAAGAATTCTCTAAAACCACACCTATAATAAGAGGAACATCAACACATAGATCATCCTTCCTAATAAAAGAGTTGATAATTAATGGAGGAAAATAATCTCCTCAATCAACTTTAATATATAATCTTCCAAAAAATTGAAACACTGAAGGAAAAATGAAACAAACATGCCAAATGGTAAAAATATCAAATAAGATCATAGTAGCAATTTCTCCAAGATTCTTTAAGAAACCATTAAAAACACTCTACATCACAAAAAGAACATCCCGGATAATGTTAACATGGTTTTGAAAAACCTTTTTGTAAGATAATACTTGAATTCCATTCCTTAATTGAAGAATTATAGTCTTTAATTGCAAACAGAGGATCAACACAACCCTCTTAGACAATTCTTTTGAAAAGAAAGATCTGCCTCTACAAACCAATTTCCCACACACCAACACTTCCTTGAATAATAAGAGATCACATTCCGAGAACATTATCGAACCACATCTACCAACCAAGAAAAACACTAAACTTGAACAAATCCAACCTCAAATTACCACACATAATAATAAACCTTAACCCAATAGATTTTCCACACCAAGAACCTTTGTAGGCCATACCAAGCCAACATAAAACCTTCACCAAACAAAGAATAGGGCGTCAGGGAACCTTCGACAGCCAAAGCTCAAACAAAAATACCTTTAGACATGTCACTTTGATAACATTACCTACAGCCAAACATAAATTAGATCTTAATCCAAAAGAATATCCACACCAAGATCCTCTGTCAGCCACACCAGATCGTAAGAGAACTTTCGCCAGCCAAAGCTCTACCAAAATTGCCTTTAGACTTATCACTCTGCCAAAATCATCTTCAGCCAAAAGAAAAATAGGTCTTAACCTATAAGAATATCCAAACAAGGAACCTCCATCAACCACTTCGGTCCTATCGAGAACTTTTGCCAGCAAAAGCTCTGCCAAAATAACTCCGCTCCATCAAAGTTTCTATCCATAAACTCCACCAGCCAAAGCTCCCTCAATATAGCTCTCCATACAAATTAAATTTTGTTAGTAAAACATCTTAATTAATTTTTATTTTAACTATATCATACAGTATGATCCATATCATATAATACAAGCCTAAAAAAATAACACATTTAATTTCACTCTTATTTTGTGTGTGTGTTCATGTTTACTACGCTAGCATACATCTTTTATAATACATTGACTCAAGAATGATAAAAATACAAACTCTTACAAAATTAAACTTATACTAACCCAGTCTTAAGCCTTGATCCTTTAGCTTTACTTGGTATTTGTTGTACATGAAATTTTAGTATACTTATAAAATATATGTAATAGTAACATATAAATAAATAGATAAAGTCCAATAATATTTGTTATCATCAAAATATACACTCGGGTTCATGGATTATAACATGTTCTTTAAAATATAAAACTTAAAAAACATGAACCCTTAAAATACCTTTTTAAGACAAATTCAAAACTTTTAAACAACTAAACATTTGAATTCAAATGAACCTTCAATTACCTTAACAAATAAATCAATTTTAGACAAATCCAAACAAATAAAGCCTAGGTTCAATCTAACTCCATAGCCTTGTATACACACTTTAGATAGTTTACTAGGAAAACTCACTTTAGCTTAGGCTTGGCTAGTGGTTTGGTTTTTTTAGCGTGTCTTGCATAGAGGATACTCATATTTGGATTATTTATTTTCAATACTCAAGATGTCATATTTAAATTTTTGTTCATGAATATTTGAATTAGGCAATTAAATTGTTTTATATTTACTTCTACACACTCACAAATCTTCATACAACTGTAGTTTTATATATAAACTGCTCTTTTATATTTCTTTAAAAGTAGAATGTATCTAGGCAATGATGTTAATGTAAATATAAAGGTAATGATCTTTATCTAAATAATTTAGATACTTGTATAGCTAGATTGAGTTGTATAGTATCAAGGGTTATAAAATATTTTAAAATGATTATTTGTATACACTTTTAAATTCCAAAAAGAAATAATTCTTATTTCTTTAAAGATCATTATCTTTTGGAATACTATAGAAGATACTGGAGCATGATGATTAAATATTAAAAAATAAATGATATTTAAATCTATATTTATATAAGAATATAAATCCATGCTTATTATTGGTGGAGTCTGCCCACCTTTACTTACAGCAGGCACTAGGTTATACCTTGCAAAATTATCAATGAATAAATGATTTTTATTTATACATTACTATTTTTGCGTCATTTTATTATGTGACCAAGTATATATTACAATAAACATGTTAAAGTTTTCTAAATTATAATTCCTTAATTCCTAGGTTAGAAGCATCAAATCCTACATTCATGAGGTGATTGATTATGAGTAGGATTGTTAACTAACAGTTCACTCTAGGAAAATACAAGTCTAGATTATACACAACCCTTAGTATCTGCACATTCCTTTTATTATATACTTCTAAAAATATAAAACCTTAAGTCTAAATCAAAATTCCAAATAAACCTTATAGATTTATAATCTAAAGCATGTATACTGAAACCTTGATAGCCTATGCCTTTCTTTAAATCTATATGAATTTAAAAAATCTATAGTCTTCACTTTAATTAAGAGTGTTCTCTTCAAAAATGTAATTAACTAAAGGGGCTTGCCCTTATAGAAAGTCTAGAACCCATTATAAAAATAAATCCTATCTTAGTTCCTTTTAAAGGTGGGCTAAAAATTTGTCGATGCAGACCTAGCTTTAAACCTTGGTTTATTTTCTTGTTCAAAATATTAAGTGAATATTACTTTTAATCTTTGGGATGAGTTAAATATTCCATATATTTTGCTTGATTTAAGAAATAGACTTGTCTTA